TTTTTAATATAAGATTTTTGAGGATAGGTGTGATAGTGACTATAGATAGATTGTGACTATATAGGATAGATTTTAATAATAAAGTGTTTTGAACATTCAACTGGTGTGACTATATAGTAGAATGTGACTATAACGGGAGTAACTATAGAGGGAGTTGACTGTAGGCGTTTTGTCGAATAGACATTTCGCTGAATCCTTTTCCCCGAATCGTTCACTTTGTCGAAGGAAATTTCGCTGAAAATACTAGTAATTAACATAATTCCTGAATCAACACAGAGAAAATAAAATATTTCAGAAAATTGATGAGTTGTCAAATAAATTAATTTTCCTTTACAGTAATTAAAATAAAATAAATAAACGCAACTTTTAATGTGTAAATAATTAGGTTGTCTTATAAAAAAGAAAAGGAAAATTGAAAAATTTCATATCTTCGGCAAAATGTCCCTTCGGCGAAATGGCTTCGGCGAAATGGGTTTCGGTGAAAGGGTTTCGGTGAAATGACCCCTTTTTTTGCGTTATTTTTTACGGAAATGATTTTTGCGGGAAGGTTGGCTGAACTTCTACGAGTTCTCACATGCTTTATATCTTGCTGGGAAAAGGGGAAAGGAAATAAGGAGCGTGATTAACATTATCGTATGATGCCAATAAGCACATGAGTACGGATTTCTCATACGTAGATCTACCCTGCAAGACGCGTCAATCTTTTGCTCATTCAAATATTTATACCTTGCAAAAAATAACGATAATTTCAGGATTCAAAAAAATCATCGATAAATTTATTCGTCTATTCTTTGTCTTTTATTTTTTATGGTTTCCAATAACTTTGCCTGTGTATGCAATCACGGTAGAGGTTATGGATATTACTGCGGTATAGAATTAGGCACTATAAATTATTAGAATTCTTCGTTATTAGTTTCAGTTTCTTTCACTTCTATATTTTATCTATTCTTTATTAGGTTGTTTAGATCCTGCTACTCTCTGGTGGTGGTGATCATTGCTAGCTGGTTGCAGATTGCACTTGTTGTTATCCTCCTGGCCAAAACAGTTATTGTTGTTAGAATAATCTATCAATGTCGCAAAAATTTATTAGTAGGTTCTACAAGAATTACGTATTATTATTAGGCCATGATTATTTTTTAACAAAATTTTTTTCGTTAGATCTTCATTTTCACAAACGAAGAAGTTTACGAAGATTAGTGCAATACCGTTGCTCGCACTTTTTTCATATTCTTCCTGAGCACGCACTTCCTCACTTGGATTATATACAACAACAACAATAATTTCTTTTACTGTTAATGTACGCTAAATATATTTATTTATCTGTACATTTATTCGAAGCTTACATTACAAATCTGATTTCGACAATTTTTTTCTGAAAATCTAATTGATGAATGATTAATTTTCATATTTATTTGTTATATTTATTATATTAGTATTAATTAAATATATTTTCTTCAAACCAATAAAAAGCAAATAATAATTATAAGTAAAAATGTTCTTAAGGATTCCTTTATTGTAAATTTAGGATCCTTAAGAATTCCATAAGTCTCTTGATAGGAAATACTTGTGAGTAGGAAAGGTCCTTAGGGGTCCTCATTAATTACAGGATTTTTGGGATCCCCAGTAATCTACACCCCAAAAACTTTACTGATGGCATACAATAATATTTATAATATTGGTAATTAGCAACTAAAACTTAGATTTAAAATCCTAATTCGACTTACCATTGTCAACCCATGGTTTATGTCTAATAAATTCCACAAATCAACAAGAATAGCAACCCCAATAGTCAGTTTGACTTTCGTTCAAACTTTTTCTATGCATAATAAATTTGATATTTTGAATCCAAAAAGAATAAACAAACATTGAATATGAATAATAAGTAATATTAACCATTAACTATATTAATTAAAAGCTTACATCTTAATTAACGTTCAATTGAGATATATCAATTAGTAAAGATTTTATTTAATAAAAAGTTTTATTAGCAACTTTAGACTGCCGATGAATTAATTCCTTTTCATCGAATACATCTGAGTCTAACATTAATATATTGTAAATATTCAAATTTTTTAAATTGTTTCTGGATCCTGAGTTATTCCATAAAATTTAACAATCACATTATTATCCATTTTTACTTTATCATGTAACATAGTCTATGTGAATGTAAAAGTACAAATGTATTAGTATGACTAATAATCTGTGTATTATGATCATAACTAATAAATTAAATTAATAAACTATAATAAAACTATATCTCATTCATAAATTCTAATGTAACATTTTTTGAATTGTCCAACTTTTTAGTGCTACATATTTTCATTATATCATTTCCAATTATGATTTTTCTTATTGTTACTAGGGACAGTTCGGTTCGGTTTCGGTTTTATAACCGCAGTTTTCAGCTGAAACCGAACCGACCGCAAAACCGACCGATAAAACCGAATTGCAAAACCGATCGCAAAACTACTGCAAATTGAATGAACTAATGTTAGAAAGTGTTAATTATAATTTTATTTAATAATATTCCTTAAAGTTATAATTTATTTTTTACGATAATAATGTCAATTTTGCGATTTATTTCAGCGGAACGAAAAATCACGTGATCGACGCGTAAAAAATAAATTTTCTTATTATTTCAAAAATAAGAATACTATATATATATAAACACAAAATCATAATTTTTAATAGTATTCTCAATATAATTAATGAAAAAAATATTTTTTCTTTTGGAATAATATGATTAATTGATCGGTTTTTTTGTCGGTTTTTTTATATATAAAACCGACGGCAAAAACCGGTTATAATCGGTTATAACCGACTTTTGGCATCCCTAATTGTTACCACTGATTTTAACGTTCGGCTAGGTAGTACAGAAAAATAAATAAGGATCGGTTATTAATCGCAAGGTAATATGACGTTGAATATCAAGTGCTATTGGTCAGTCTAATAGGATCATGCTGATTTTGACGGACTGATATTTTTTGTTAATGGCTAAATAATTGATATTTTTCTTTTATTGGCTAAATATCGCAGTTTAATTATACTTTTTATATGCTCTTACTATAATAATAGCATGATCTTGTGTGACTGACGCAATAACTATTATTTAAAGTAAATCGGATAATATGTGCGTAAATAGTGAGCAATAAGTAAACAAATAATAAAGTAATGATAACGTGTATATATCAATTGGGTCTTCATGGTCTTTAGTCCAAGATTTTAAGGACTGGTCTGGACTAGGACCAATTATATAAAATTTTTTATCTATTATAAAAATGATAAATTATATATTAATAAAGTTTTCATTTTAAAATATCAAAATTTTCATAAGTACAAGAAATAAAAATTTTCGTATATGCAATTATTTTGTGTTACATGATCAGCATCAATTTGATAATTTTATTTTTTTCATATTTCGATAGTCGTATAAGGTTTTAAATTCTATCCAGTATTTTTATTCTTAAACTTTGAGATTTTGTTTTGGTCATACTTAGTTTACAATTAAAACAAGGGTAATAAATAATAAATTAATGCCATACTTTTAGTGCGACCTGCATTTCATTATCCAACCCAACAATATTGCTGTTATTTAAAAATTTAGGGATCGGTCAAAAGACTGGGCCAGTCCGGTCCTGACTGAAAGACTACTAGACCGGACCTATAATGTATATAGTATATATGGGACAAGTACGGTATGGTACAGAATTTTGGAATTTCCAGAAATTACCTTTATTTTTTATCAAATCTTTTTTTCAGGTATTGCAAAATTTTGTGTATCGCAATATTTAATTTCAAATACATTAATATTAATTTTATTCTTAGAAATTATAAAAGTAAATTTAAAAATATAACATTTATTGATTAAATAAAAATAAAAAAAAATACAAATCCAAACAAATATAAAATTTATAATGCAACACTATTACAATCAAAGGTTGTTATTCACTTATTTTGCAAGTATGGTTGTAACTTTTGTGATATTTTTGATATTTCTGATTTTTCTTTCACAGTTACCGCATTTTTACGAAGTTGTTTATTAATGGGATTTCTATATGACCTAATATGTTCTTCAAAGAAACCTTTCAATCGTTGTTCAACATCAAAATCTTTTAAACACTCTATGATTTTATACAAATCACGAATGTTAACATATTCACCTTCCATAATAGCATCTTCTACCTTATTTCTTAGTGGTTTGACTTCATAAGAAACAGTTAATTTCAATAGATCGATCAAGAATGATAAATAATGAGTTTTAAATTCATGTTCAGTTTTAAAATCGCTTGCTGTACTCAAAATAGGTATTGTCGCGTCTTTAAAAGTTTGTCCATATAACAATTGAAGAAATACTTTAAATACATCTTGATGAAATTCTATTTCAATCTCATTTATGTTATCCCGAAATTTTTCTTCAAATTTTTTTGAAGCAGCTATGTAAAAAAAAGAGATTTAAATTGTATAAAAAAATAATGTAAAATTTATTTATAAAGTAAAAATTTTAGTACCTGAAAGCACATATCTATTAGCACGGATTATTTTTCTCTCTTCACCAACGATAAAGGTGGCATCATGATAATCATCGTCGGGTTCAACTGTCAATTTATCCAGCAAAGAAGTAAGTAGCGCGTCTTTTTGAAACAAATTGTTTCGTTCAGGAAGTGGTATACCCTTCGCTGTGCTAATAAGACCCATTCTTTTCAAAGCTTCTAAACAAACGGGGTTATTTTGTAATTCTGGTGGCAAAAAATACTTATCGGTATCGTGAAAAATACTACGCAGTACAGGAACGCTCATGTCATATAAAGTATCGACATGAGCAAAATCACTTAGTGGCTTGTTAGGAATGATTTCTTTCGGACCAAGATATTTTTCAATTTCTCGATCTCTTAATAATAAAACTCTTTGCAAGAATATAACGTAAGCTTGAGAAGGTTCAAACTCATCCTCATCAGAGTGATCAGACTCATCAACAACTTGTTTTACTATGCCTTTAAGGTACTCTAATGTATCCATAGGGGTTACACCTAATTTAGTAAGTGCATTGAAATCGGATTCATGATCACATCTGTAAAAATTTGTTTTTTTATGGAAGGAAAAAAATGGGAGTTTGCGCGGAGGAAGGTCTCCGGTTGTGGCATCAATAAACTTATTTTCGGATGAATGTATGGGCCATATGGGTAAAGATCTAAGAATTTTCATGAAACCTCTTTGACTTTGCTCATGCGCTATTTAAAATTAAAAAGAGTAAAAATAAGCATTTTTTTGATTGACATAATAAATTATTCATCATTTCTTTACTTACCTATTAAAGTTTTAAGTTCATCCTTAATAAATGTTCTGAACTTTTCACATTCCGAAGATGATAGCTTTTCAAACAATCGTTCCATAGTTGAAGGTAAACAAGCTCTTTCTAAGGAATTAATAATATTTATGGCAGTGCATTCGTTTACGCATTTTTTGAGATCTTCATGAGCACTTTCTGGAAATGTCATATCAGTAAAGCGTACTTTTAACTTTACTAATATATCAAATAATGAGAATAAACTGTTTCCGTTTTGTATAAGTGGATTTGATATGTCAGGTCGTACAAGCATATTAGAAGGCTTAATCGTTGATAAAATAGGGAATTTAGATAGTTTGTCAAAATCAATATTTCTTGCGTCATTATTAAATATTAACCAGATTCTTTCAAACCATCTCCTATCTGGTAAACTTTTTCCATTTGGGTTCCAATTTAATTCCCTTACAGGTTTTAACACACTACCTAAAAGATCCAAGACAGCAGAAGCGTTAAACATTTTGATATTTGCCTTTTTAGAAAAATAATCATCCTTAAAAATTATGGATAGATTTGCTAGTAAATCAGCGGAAACAAATTTTGACGGGCCAATATCTGGAAATAGGTCTAGAAATTCATGTCCAACATAATAAACTTCACCAAATTTTCCAACCAAACCATTGCTTAATGGAACTAATGGTAACCCGGATAGAATTTCATAAGAATTCTTATCCTGGAGAATAAACTCAAGCAATTTGAACAAATCATCATGAGTGTATTTATCTACAATCATATCCTCACGTTTAAAACTAGGTATTGAAGATATTTTTAATTGCAAGTCTTCACAAATTGACTCTCCGCTGACAGGTTTGTATGGAAATTCGGATTCTCCAGATTCAATAATTTCATTTAGTTGTTTGATTTTATCTTCTTCAAGCATCACAGCTGAAATTCCCGAACTGACCAATATATCAACAATTATTTTCTCTTCATTTCTAAAAATTCTAGCGTCCTTTAATGAAATGAATTGTCCATCATCAGCTTCAGTCCAGAAAATCCTATGAATATCGTTGCCTAGTTTTTTAATAACATTTAGACCATAATTTTTGAAAAAGTTCATAGTCACATCTTTCGTATTTGGCCAAAGATTATTCATGATATATGGAAGAAAATTTGCTTCTTTATTCTCGTGCTTCTTCACAACGTAATCAAGTAGTTTAACATGTAAATCAGGTAAGACGTCATACAGTATATATAGATTTTGTTTCACGTTTTTATCACTATCTTTTCTCGGTAAATCACTCTTTGACTGGAAAATACCCCTTCTTGCACTAGTTAATGAAAAATTTCCATTTAAATGGACTCCCAAATTGGTACTGATTGATAGAGACAAATAAGAGAAGACTTCTCCTTCGAGTTTAGGAGGGTTTGGAGTCTGTAATACAAAATTTATTAATATTTTACTAATTTTAACTTGGCAATCAGAGATATGAAAAAAAAAATATTTATTTATTTACCAATTTCTCTAATTTATCAAATGATTCATCTGATTTATCATTGGATTGAGCAAGCAAAGAAGCAACTCCACCTCTCGGCTTCATAGGATAATATTAATTAATAAAATTTCAATTTTAATAATTTTAATAGAAATGTGAAAGTTCTTTAACGTAAGTAAAAAATTCATTTATTATTAATTACATAAAAAAAATCAAAAGTGCAACAAATGTACCTTGCGCTCCATTAAATCCTTATCAAAATCATGTCCTCCTGTACATAAAAGCCATATTTCTGAATTTTTCGTTCTTAGCTCATTATTTTTATAATCCTTTCTTTCAATATTTAATTGATAGATTGGCGCATCAACAATATTATCAACAATATTTTGACGATCTTCACGGCAACTTTTAATATTGCGAATTTGACTTTTCCAGATCAATTGAGTCTCTCCGCCTTCTATATTATAGAAACTACATGATTCAATATTCCTTAAAAAAAGCATTTCTTTATTACTCTGTATATTGCTAAATTTTTTGCGGATATTATTGATTTTAATTTCTCCTTGAGAAATTTTACTGTCTTCTGCCAATGCACGAGTCCTAAGCGGAAGTCTAAACAATGTTCTTTTGAACTCTTTTGTAAAATCGCAACCTTCTATGGCCATATAAGGGTAGCATTGATCTGGAAATTTACTTCCAAAATCCGTTTTCATAAAATTAATTTTAACACCTTTTCGTTTTTTAGAAGGGTATCCATATTCTGGAAGAAATTTTGCATGTGGATCTAAAAATGCAATATACTCTCTGCTCACAAGACTAGGTAAATCTGTAACGTGAAAGGCACAGTTAAATCCTATTCCAAATCTTCCTATTTTTGTGTCATCATCAGATTTCCCTCCAATGCCAAGTTTAAGTAAAGAAGTGAAATCAGTATCATTAAATTCTGCATCATTATAAATCCATATCGCGTGACCTTGCCAAACTTCCAATTCTTCTGAAAATAATGATTTCTTAGACGGATTATGTTGAAATTTTGGTCTTTCATCGAGATAAACTGAAAATTTCTTAGCTCCAGCGTCATCTGCGTTCTAAAGAAAGCATAAAATAATTCTAAATTTTTTTGAAAAGAACTTATTAATATTACTTTATCACTTACTTGAAGGAATTCTTTAAATAAGGAATCCATTGAATAATCCTAAAAATAATATTTCAATAAATTAATATCGAATAAAATGCATTACCAAACGATGAAACTTTCCAAATTACAATTACATTGAGAATATTTTTGATTCTTGTAGTCAATGATTCATGCTGTCCATATATTTCCCATTCTTCATTTTCATTCCCTAGGAATCGAAATGTGTGTTAAGACGGCTTATAAAATAATAATAAATTCACCTTATGATTATGACGGTTACCAAATATTCTTCCTCTTAAAGTTTGAATTCCTAATTCTGAAGCAATATTCTGAGTCACAAGACTATGAACAATATTATACTCGCTTCTCTCTTCATTGTCAAGCATATTTCCTAAGTCATCAGAATAAATTTCCCTTATTTTGAGTAACCTATTTTTAGTACTTGGAATCAATAATTCATCCAAAATTTCCTGATCATTTTCTTCTATCTTAGTAACATGTTGAATTTTTGCAATTCGTTTAAGAATTTCAATAACATTTTTTATTTCATCCATTGATAGTTCTTTATCTTCGCCTATGTCACTAATAATTGAAATTAGATCCTTAACTTCAATTTCATCTAAAATTTTGATATTTAGGTCACATCCATTCCATCTAACTTTTGCGTTATCGTACAAAATTTTATACAACTCAGAGTCAATATTTTTGTCAATTAATTTGTTACTATTCAACTGATTTATGAGACTGTTATTATAATTTTTAATATTTTCGGTAATCTTATCAATATACATGTAAGATTTGCTGGATAATGTTAAAGTATCAAATGTATTATTCGCAAGTGGAATCATTTTGAAACCTTCTAGTTCGTCAAATTTTTTATCACCTAATATAAACTTGAATAATTGTAAGACTTCTTTTCTCGATATTGCATCAAATTCCCATCTATTACGGTTAGAGTTTAAATAAGTACGAATAATGGCGGGAGATAAAACCCTAAGAGAATTTCTGTGTTTAGATTCTTTTAAGACTCTAATTACATCGTAGGGAACTGATATTACAGGAAATCCAATGTTTCCGATTATTTTGAGTAAATTAATGTCAGCCAACAATCTATCATCTAAATAACCATTGCAAAGTGAAAGCCAATGAAATTCGGAATTTTGAAATGATTATATGAGTCCGCTAAAATTTGAGATACTTTTCCGATAATATTTGATGAAGAAGGTCCTTTAAATACACGATCCTCGATGCTAAAACTTTCTATAACATTTTTTAATAGATCTTTGCAAAAAATATTTATGTTTTTCGATACATTCTCTCCTATTGGCCAGAATTTATATAAATCACATGATCCGATATTAGGAATTTTAATAGGGAGTTCATGAAGTAGTTTTACCCAAGCTTTAGGTAAAACTTTTTCAAATAAATATTTATTCCATTCAATCTTTAAGTTTGCTAATGCATCAAACGCCTAAATATTCAATAATTATTAATACACATTTTTTTTTCAAAATATTATGAAGTTAGAATTACATTACCAGATCTTCACCGTCTGCGGGCGACCATAAAGAACGTCGATTATTGCTAACCTTTGTTAATCAAACAAAAGATTTATTTAGTTATTTATTATTCATAATGTGATAAATTTTCACTAATACTTACCGCGAAATATCCATGTACGGAAACGAGGAAAGGCATTTCAATTGGAAGAGGTAAAAAACAGAATAATCTTCCGGTAGCGTTCAAATTTTCCAAAGGGATAGCTAAACCAACATTTGGTACAAACTTATATTCTCCAATATTTTTTTTGAATTTACTTTGAAAGTATGCATCAGTTTTGCGTAAATCATCAAGATAATTCAAAATTAACCATTTTGAATTAGACTCTATGGAATCTCCTTTCTGACGACTGAATGATGCAACATAAGTCGTCTCTAATTGTTGATTTTCGTCAAGTTTCCCAGAATTTAATGAATCCATCATTGGCATAATTTTTTCAACTATCAAACGGCGTTCTTGTCGTACTTTTTCAGCATTCATTAATTGAATTTTATAAAGTAATTTAGGTTCAATAGCGCCCTTTTCCAATTCATAAAAAGAGATACACTCAATGTATTTCAAAAATAATAAACAATTAATGCTTTCATTTTCGTAAAATTTACGAAACATTTCTTTAATTTCATCAGTTGTATAAATTTTCTTAGAAATTTCCGATTCATCAGAATCACGAAGTGGGTAGCGAAAAATAGTTCCTTCGAAATTTTTATTACACGGGATTCTAAAAGGAGCGAATTGATCCGGATAATGTTCGGCTAATCTATCTTTGACATGGTCGAATTCGATGCCACCACGAAAATACCATTCATGTGGATCAAGAATAACATATTTATCACCAGTAATGAAAGAAGGTGAATCAGTAATATGATAAATTGAATTAAAACCGACTCCCATCACTATGATTATAATAAAAATGCATTAGAATATATAACATAATACTGTTATACAAAATCAATAAATTAAATTTCTTACCTCCAATTTTATCAAATTGATCTTGTTTTTCACTATCGGCCAATTTGAGCAAAGATTTAAAATCTCTTTCATCAAAAATGGTATTATTTTTTGCTAAAAGTGCAGGACCTTGATATCTACCAAGTTTCAGATTGGCTCTCTCATAGTTAACCAAATCTGGTTTTATTAATCTATTAGATGGATATGTATTATGATCCAAAATAAAAACTTGTTCGGTACTCTTAGCATCGTCTGAATTTTGAAGAATTTCACGAAGAATTTGAGAACCATCAGGATATTCTTCAAGAATTTTACGTAAACGATGAGTGAAAGGTTCTCGTGGCCTAAACTCTCTCCCAATTGCTCCTTTAGGAGCGTTAGGGCCGTTAGTGTTTGTCATCTTGCGAAATGAAACTTTTCTTTGGCGTTGAACGATAATAATCTAGTTATCGTATCTAATGATATTAGATAATCAAAAAAGATAGTTGATGTGTTACTAAGTTTACGACAGCATAAAACATTAATAAAAATTTTAAAATTATTACTTTGCCGCTAAAAAACAATAATAAAGTTCTTAATAATAATTATTATGAAACTTTTCGATGTTTAGTCTATTAAATGATACAATGTGTCAATTTATAGTTTTTTTAAAAGTCACTGATTATTGATAAGAAGTATACATGTGACTTCATAAAACATGAAATTGATAAAGATTATCCGGATGAACAATTAATAGAAATTGTAACAAAGACGACAAAGATCGTCATTCGTAAATAGTGGCACTCGACGCCATTATTTTTCTCTGACCACATCGAGTATAAAAGAAGTATAAATCCTTCCAAAAAAGAAATGAGTTACAAATTATTAATAAATTTCATCATGAGATCCAAATAAATCATTGTTTTTTTTGGGAAATTCATTTAAATTCCTTTAATGATTTCATTTAGATAAAGTTACACAGCGAATTTTTAATGATGTAATTATTCTTATCCTGGTACTTTGTTTGTTTTCATTCTATTTTTACTATCTATAGAATTTTGTTTTTAATCTTAAAATAATTAAGGGTTTATATCTTATCTACGTCTTACCTTTTTGTATATTAGACTTATCAGCTATCGATCGGTTCACATGCCCATTTGTTTTGTTCTTGATAAGATCGTCAATTTCCGGTAAAATTTGGATTTCGCTAATATTAAAAGGTGACATTGATCGATTTGAAGTATTTAGATTTAATGCCAATCTCAACGATAAATTTTGTTGCGTAATTGGGCTTGTTTTAATAGCGCGAAGGTTTATCAGTAACGAGTTTCGCACTCACTAAGTGTGCGCAAATCTGCAAAACATACATATTAGAAATATTTTTATATATAAAAATGAGAATCTATAATATACTAAAAAAAATTCTGTCACGCTTAGATAGGGGATAATTATTTGATTGCGATATGTTCTTGTGCTTTATTGTTTTTTAGGTATGAAACTTTGCTTTCTCCATTTCCCTACCGTATGTACTTGTTTCTCTGGATGTACAACTAAACTTACTATCAACGTCCTTTAAATTACACTTTTAAAATTTACATTAAGGATTTATTTAATTGGTTCAAAATAAATTATAAATTCAGCCAGCTAAGCGGTTTTCAGAAAATTTTGCCTGGATTCTTATTAAATTATTATGTATTTATGCATCTTGTGTTAATTACTTTTAAAATGAGATTCATTATATAATGGTTATTCATGTGATATTGATATTGCAATTCCTATGATATTTCGGTACAATTGGCATCGTAACCATCGTACCATCGTACCTGTACAATGTACATAATTAATAATACTTTATCATATCGTGCTATCGTGCCATACTATAAATAATTTAAATTGTGTTACATTAGACACATGATATGCCTGCGCGGCTGCGCCTGATATATTCCATATTTGATTGGCTAACAGGGTCATGTGTATTGCTAATACAGTTCCAGTTAATGAAATTTTAATAGGAAACTTTTTTTTTTAATTAAACGAAAAAAGATTACTAATGATATCTTCTTGAGACAATGCGATCGGCCGCAGCTATCCGAACAAAATATTCTTACTTGTGTTTCAAATGAGCGACAAAAAATATTTTTTTCGATTTTTGTGTTTAAACCGAAATTTTTTTTTTTTAAATAATGATTTTTTTTTCAGTCTTTTAGACCGATTTTTTTTTTATATTATTATATTTGTCTTTTTAGATCTAAAGGTTGTTTTTTTATATTATTGTTCTTTTTCGGTCCTTTTTAGGGCCGAATTTTTTTTTTACCGGTTCTTATGGAAATTTTGATATGTTACTTTTAATTTTTCAGTTCTTTTTTACAAGCCGAAAAATTTTTTATTTTATTTTTTTTTTAGTTAATACAGTACTTTAAAATAATTTTTTTAAAAATTTTTTTTTTTATTTTCAATATTTTTTTCAAATCCAAAAAAATTTTTTTTTTATTTCAGAGTTTTTTTTATCATCATTCGTTTTGATTTTGTGATTTTTTTCTTTAAATAGATTATTATTATTATTATTATTGTTAATTATTAATAATAATTAATGCCAATAAAAAACGATTTATTTTTTATTATTTTTTTTTATTGTTCATTCATTCTTTATTATCAATTTTTTTCTTTGGTTGTTTTATTATAAGATGGAAAAAAATGTTTAATGATAGTGAACAAAAAGGAATGTTAGAAATAGATGAAAGACTAAGAGAAATGATGATTATACAAAAGAATTACAAGAAAAGTATGTGTTATTGTTATATAGAAGGTAAATAGAATAATATATATTTTATAAAAATGCATCAATGAAATGGGTAAGAGTTGACAAAAATGATGTGTTAGTTAAATTTAATGCAAAAATCATAAATAAGGAAAAAAATTATACTTTTTACTTGGTGGCTTGTTACAAGCGAATTAATTAACATCACCTGCTATTACGTAATCTTTTGTTGACCATACTAGACCAGTGTGGATATTTATTCTTCGGGTTGTGCAACTTAAGATTCTCACAAAATGTTATGGAGATAATTTGAACGGATGAGGCATTTGCAATAAAATTATTTCTGGACTCGCGAACTAATACCCGATTTCTTTATTCCAAGATTCGAAAGACACAATATAAATTTCTGGTGGTTATACTAAGGTTAATTTATTTGACACTGCATGTCTCGTATAACTAACGTCCCATTTTTATTCTATCCAGGATATTAATGGTGGGGCTATGCTTGGCTTACTCAAACAGCATTGGTATATTAAATTATAATTATTATCTTTTTTTCGTTATTAATATTTAAAAAAAAAAAATTATTTGACTTTTCAGAATAAGTTTCCCATCTTTTTTTATTGACCCTTTCGTTGGAAATTTCATGCGAAAATATTAAATCTTATTTTATTATAAAATAGTATTGAATAATTTTTTTTCACTTTTTTAAATTTTTTTTTTTTTTTTTTTTTTTTAGAAAATTGATTTGAAACTTAGAGATATTTTTTAATTTTATTTTATTTTTATAGCCAAATGAAACTCTAATGAAAAATAAAGTTTAAAATGTAAGCCCGCCCGACAAAGTTTCAAAAAAAAAAGAAATAAAACAATCTATAACAGATAGTTGTGAATTCGAGGAATAAAAATATTAAAAAGAGCGAGAGGAAAAAACATTTTTATTAAAATAAATTAAATATATTGTAAACGTTAAAATATTAAAATAATAAAAACTTTACACAATAAAAATGAAAGACACAATTGTATAAGAATTCCCGGCTCAGGTTTCATAATATGCTCAAACAATATGTCACATTATTGATTACCGAATGACGATCAATATAACGTTGGTAATTTTCATTTTTTTTATTTTTATTTCACAGAAAGAACCCAGCCCACAATAAATTACATACAATAAGATCCTTAAAATAGAACATAAAAATAAACTGATAGTAATCGCCCATTTGAACGACATCCTTCTGGTAGAAGAGAAAGAAAAGTATAAAAAAAAATCCCATCTATACTACATGCATATATAACACCAAATGAAAGAATAGAAATAAACTTTCTAATATCAGGAGCTAAATATAAGTGCTCTAAGATTAATAATTTATGAAACCTAGGTATCTCAATGATCCGGAGTGTCCACCATATATGACTGGTTATGTCCAATCGTGGATTTGTTGGTATAGGTGCTTGATGTGTATTATTCGAGATATTCGGTCGTAAAGACTGAAGAGTTTGGAAGATTTAGGGTTGTTATTTAATTGTTACATTTCCTTTTAACCGTGATTTATCCGATTATGTACGGTATTAAATTTTCCGTTTACGTTCCCATTCTTTGAATAAAGTATTGCGTGGATTCCAGATAATTGAATCAATTTTCTCTATGAAAGGTTTGACGAACGAGATTAATAGTTTTTCTAATATTATTTTTCTTATGTAATTGCGGAAATGACCGCTGGGAATATTATTTTGTGCTAGGAAAAATCATCTAACAATTTACATTATGATCACGCGAGATGTGCTGTTTAACCGGCACTGACCACGTGATTGGTGAGATTATATGGGAACTTTTTTTTTTAGTGGTTTAGTAAGTGCATGCAAATTTCCTTTTTCTTCTGCATGAGCATGACTTTTTAGTCTCATGTGTCACACAAATTTCTATAAATAATACAAAATGCCTTTTTTTCTTTCACGTAAAAATTTTTTCTGTACTTAAAACAATATCTAGAATGAATAACAACACTGAAATTAAAGCTATTGGTAATTCAAATGAGTGGATTAATTGGATTGAAAAATCTATAACCAAAAAACAAATTAAATATTATGATTACAAACATTTTAATCACGTTCAAGAAATTGGTTTTGGAAGTATTGAAAAAGTCTATCGTGCAAATTGGAAAAATTCTCATAATTACTTAGTATTAAAATCTTTTTTTAATTTTAATATCGTAACAAAAGAAATTGTTAATGAAGTAAATAAATAAAATATTTTTTGTTTTTACAATATATTATTATCATATATTATTAATTTCTAATTTACAATTTCTAATTTACAATTTTTTATTTATGATTTAGATTATACTTCAACATGAAATAAATTTCCATGAGAATATTATCCGTTTTTATGGCATTACAACAGGTATTATGAATATTTTTTTAAAATCATTAATTAAATTAAAATGAAAAAAAAAATTCTAAAAATAATCATTTCTATCAAAAAGAAAACCAAAGTGATAATTCCAATAAATATTTATTGGTGATGGAATATGCAGATAGTGGTACCCTTCGAAAATATTTAAGTGAACATTTTGAACATCTCACTTGGAATAATAAGTTAAATTTGGCACTTCAATTAGCTAATTCTATAACATACTTACACGATAAAGAAATTGTGCATCGTGATTTGGTAAGTTATTTATACATTTAAACTATGCTGTAAGATTATATATATACTTAATACAATTATTTATTTTATTTATTGATTTTAATAATAGAACTCTCATAATGTATTAATTCATAAAAATATCATCAAATTGGCTGATTTGGGATTATCAAAAAGGATTGAAGAATCATCCAACATTCAATCAAAATCATTTGAAATGGTTACTTATGTTGATCCACAAATATTTAATAAAAAAAGAGATATTAACAATCAAATACAATTATATTCATTGAACAAAAAAAGTGATGTTTACAGTATTGGCATACTCTTATGGGAAATTTCTAGTGGCCAGCCACCTTTTTGTAATAAATCATATGATATTAATTTGGCTATGGAATTATCACAAGGTCTTAGAGAAAAACCCATTCCAAATACACCTGAAAATTACATAAACATATATACTGGTAAATATAATTAAATTTTATATATGATTTAATAATTAAAATAACTTATTAATTAATATAACTTATTTCATTCTTAGATTGCTGGAATAATGAACCAGATAATCGTCCAACTATCAAACAGGTTTTTACTAGATTAAATACAATTGTTTTAGATTTTCAGCAAAATGATTATAATGCAGATATACATCAATTATCAAATAAACAGCTGGTCAAATCAAATAATGAAGTTCCTGAAAATATAATCAATAATTTATTACATGAGGAAATGTCTCAAATTATTCAAAATTTTAGTAAAATTCAAATAAAAGAAATAGAACCTTTAATTTCATCAAATTTAATTAAAAATAACTTTGAACAAATGGTTAATGAAATAATTCTCCTACTTGAAGATATAGAAATAGAAATGAGAAAATGTAAGATTGTTAATTATCTTAATTATCGTGATATAGCTTTACAAGAAATTTATAATTGGTTATTAAGTAATCAGAATGATTCTAATTCTGTTTTATTACTTGGAGCATTTAATCATCATGGAATTGAAATTAATGTTAATGAACAAATAGCATTTGAATTATATCAAAATGCAGCAAATTCAGAAAATATATTTGGAATAATTAGTCTAGGATATTGTTATGAAAGAGGAATTGGAACCAGTATTTATAGAAAAAAAGCATTTGAACTATATCAAAAGGCTACAAATTTAGGAAGTGCATATGGAATGTATAATCTAGGAAATTGTTATATGGATGGAATTGGAACTTTTGTTAATGATCAAAAAGCATTTGAATATTTTCAAAAATCTGCAAATTTAGGAAATTTACTTGGAACATGTAATTTAGGATGGTGTTATAGAGAAGGAATTGGAACCAATATTGATAATCAAAAGGCATTTGAATTATGTAAAAAGGCTGCAAATTTAGGAAATTATTTAGCTCAATATGATCTTGCTTTGATATATAAAGATGAAGAAGCTGTAATGGATATAGACCAAGCAATTTATTGGTGCAAAAAATCTGCTGAACAAGGATATAAAAGTGCCCAATATGAATTAGATGAGTTAAATGAACTAAATGATGAATTAAATGATGAATTAAATGAGTTATATGATGCAGATGAATTATATGACTCGGATGGATTATATGATTCAGATGAATATGATTTGGATGAATTATATGAGTCAGATGAATTACATGAGTCAGATGAATTACATGAATCAGATGGATTATATGAGTCAGACGAATTATATGAATAAGATGAACTAAATGAAGAATTAATTATATGCTTTAGATGGATTAGATGAATCACATGAATTATGTATTATATTAAATGAATTAATTTTTTAAATAAATTTATAATAATAAATTTCCATATTTTTTCAGTTTTAATGTAACCGTTGTAGCCATATTCAGAGAATTATTTGGCTTTTGCTTAAGATTTCCTAATTAAATTACTGATATAACAAATCGATTGAAGAAATACTGAATATTGTATGTAATTTACAATATTATAATAAATCTTGAAATCATGAAATGTTTACACTTTGAAGGTTTTAATCTTTGAATGAAAACTAAAATTGAAAAAATGTAATTAAAGATTTATTCAAAAGACCAGATACATATAAATTAATTTGTAAATCGTAAAATTTTGATTTCCTTTTTTTAAACTACAAAAATTGTTTTTAATTTTTTAAAACACTTAATATCATTTTTTTTTTAAAAAAAAAAAGAAAAAAAAAATTATTTTAGGTTTCAAGTATTATATCAGGTGTCGATTTGCGTCAGATGATAATTGTTGTGAGATGCGCGCCCCCGAGCAATACTGAAATAGGTAACAAGAAATAACGCGTAGAATAGGCCAAAATAATCATGAAAATCTTTCCTTTTTTAGATATATTTTGATAACGTTGGTAAGAAATATATTACTTTATTTAGTAACTGACTGACATTATCATAATTCCGGCCCTGAAAAAATGCGTTGAGCTAATAGTAAAATTTTGCCAATTTCCTATGACCTATTTATATATTGTTCGGGGTCCTCCACCACCGCCACCTGTATCGCACAATCAAGTCTTCTATTCCAAACACTTAAATTGTATATGAAAATTATATACTTATTTGATTTATGTAAAATCATCTATTGTCGCAATAAGTAATTTTGAACGAAGTAAAGTATTTCCCATTTTAGGATTACATATTTTTTAATGTGATGATAAATTTATTTAATAATATGAAAATTTTTTAAGACTGAAAAATTTAATGTTCAATTATATCTTAATTTTATATGTATCAAGTATCAACGCACGTCATCACCTGAAATTTCAACATTGCAAGAAATGAATATAATACTTTATTAAAATTAAATGACACATATTTCAATTTTTCATCTCAAATAATTCAATAAAAATAACTCTTTAATTAAATAAAAGTTTATTATTCTAAAAACAAGACTTGGATATTTAATATTCACCCAACAATTCGATATGACATAACTATCTCAATACCTAACCTACTTTTGTATGTACTGGCAACTATTCAAATCATTCATTAACTGCCAATAATAAATCTAACATTTTTGATCTTTCATTTGTATCCTCATGAAATTCAACTAATTGATCTATAACAAGTTGTCTATTCAATTTAATATATTTTTCACAATAATCTTTTAATCGTGTGGCCTTAAATTTATCTGACAATTCTAAAATTTCACATACATTAGCAAAATTAATATACTTACTATTTATAATTAAATCTTCTACTTCATCTTTGAGTTCAACTTCATAAAAATCTGTTGCTTTCAAAATATCAATCAAAAATGTTAATTCGTAACTCTCCTTTTCTGTTGTAAATTCATCTCGTTTACGTAAAACAGATTTCGCTGCATCTTCAAAAGATTGTCCATATAACCATCGAAGTATTACCCAGAATATATTTGGAGTTGTATCATTTATTGAAATTTCAATTTTATTCTCTGTTGATTTATTTGAACCATTAGAGAACATTGTTTCAAAATATGTTGATACAGCTATGTAATAGGGATAAAGATAGATATATTACCAATTAGTAAAGAAGATAATTTGAATATTGAATAATAAAAACAATTGTACGTTTAACATACCTGAAAGAACACATTTATTAGCGCCAATTTTTTCTTCACCGATAATAAAAATGACATCAAAATTTTTATCATCAGATTGACTTACAAGTTTATCAAGTAAGGAGTTTAACAATTTATCTTTTGAATTAAATGTTGGATTTGATAATAATGATATTGATGGTGTTTTAATCTCAGAAGCTCCTGCAAGTAATAATAAATCTCTATATTCCTTCAAACAATCTTTAACTTTATAAATTTTACGAAATCCAATATCTGCTATTAATCCAAATACGAGATCTTTTCCTGTTACCCAATTTTTCTCATCAAATGGATCATCCCCATTTAAAAATAATTTCTTATTAGGATCATTGATTTTTGATTTAATTAACACTTTCATATTTTCTTCTTTTGAATTTTCATTCATTACTTTATAAATTTCATTAATTACATTTTTTAGTTCTCTCTTATTATTATTATTCCATTTTTTTTCTTTCAACATTGTTACAACAACAAACCAATGTTCAATAATATTTTCTATAAATGGAATTCCAATTTCTGGATGATGTACATTGAAAATATCATTCGGTTCAACATTTTCATCAAATAATGGATATTGAGTCCAACATATTTTCTTATATTTTTGAGAACAAAGATTTTCAAAAGATTCAAAACGAAAAGTTTCTTTTGATTCCTGATAAAATTGATTTTGATTGGTTTTTTCCGTTAGAATGAATTTGGTCCCTTTAATCTTATTCCACTGTTCATCGTTGAAATTTAAAGTATTGATTTGTTCATATAAATATTGTACTAAATCTTTTGCTCTATATTCAATTACATTTATTGGAAATATTCCTTGTTTAACCTGTGATTCAATTTCTAATGCACATTCAATATATGTATCACAATCCACTTGATGTTTAAGACCGATTCTTTTCAGAGCTTCTAAGCAAGAATGATTATCTTGTAGTTCTGGTGGTAAAACTTTATCAGTATCTGCAAAAATACTTTGAAATAATGTATTATCCGTATCATATAAAGTATCGACGTTAACAAATTTAGTGAGTGATTTGTTAGGTATCGCTTCATGTTGTTTGAAACATTTCTCAATTTCTGGATTATTTGACGATAATGTATACTTTAAGAAATGAATATAATCCTTAGAAGGAGTTGAAGATTTTAGATCTGGTAAGATATGATTCTTAATAAAATCTATTTCATTTATAGAAGTGGCACCTAATTTCCTAAGTGTGTCTTTAAAGAAAAAACAATTATAAAAATTGGTATTATCACGAAAGGAGAAAAATGTAATTCCTGAATGAATAATTCCAGACTTTGCATCAATAAAAATATTTTTTTTAGAATATACTGGCCATATTGGTAAAGAAGCAAGAATATTATTGAAATTTTCTTGATATTTCCCATATCCTATCAAAAATATGTATAAAATATTAATCAAACATGAGTAAACAAATATAAATAAATAAATGAATTTCTTTCACTTACCTATTAAAATATCAATTCCTTCACTAATAAATATTCTAAACTTTTCATATTCTAAAGCTGTTAAATTACTATCTTTAAATAATTGTTTCATACTAATATTCGTATTTAATAAAACCTTTTCCAAAGAATTAATAACGTTCACATGATTGTATCTTAAAATACATTTTTTGAGATTTTCATGAACATTTTCAGGAAATATCATATTAGTAAACCTTAATTTTAATTTTACTAATACTGGTATTAAAAAATGTTCTTTATCAATATATAAAAGTGGATTGTAGATATCAGGTTTAATAAGCATATTGGAAGGTATAATAACTGGTAATAAAGGAAATTTCGATAATTCTTCAAATTCTATATTTTTTCCAAATTTATTTATAATTGACCAAATATTTTTAATCCAATTATTAATTATTATAGAATTATCATTCAGATTCCATGATAATATATTTTCATTTGGTAATTCATATTTTAAAAGATCTAAAATTGCTGTAGCATCAAATTTTCGGATATTTGTGACTTTAGAAAATGCTTCGCTGGAAAAAATTCTTACTATATCATTTGGTAAATAAATAGAGACAAATTTTGATGAACCAGCACTTGGAAACAATTCTATATGTTCTTGATTACCAATGTAATAAATATTTTCTTTATCATACTCTCCAAACTTTCCAACGGAACCGTCATTCAATGGAATTAATGGTAATCCATCAAGAAACTCGAAAGAATCCTTATCTTGAAGAATAAAACTGAGCAATTGAAATAATGTATCGTGTGTATTATCGTTATTAAAAACATTATCCTTAGGTTTATATGGTCTTAGTGATTGTAATTCTTTACATATTAATTTTCCACTGATACGTGTATACGGGAAATTTCGAGGTTCTTTAGATTTAACGATATTATTTAAATGTTCCATTTTTTCTTTATCAAGTTTCACGATTTGAATTGGAACTTTTAAATTAATCAATATATTTGAAATATTTGCTTGTTCTTTCTCAAGAATTCTAGCATCCTGTAATGAAACAAGTTGTCCACCATTAGCTTCGGTCCAGAAAAATTTTCTCTGTCTATTATCACCTAACTTACTAATAACTCTTAAACCATAATTTTTGAAAATCTTTAAATAAAAGTTGGATTTAAGGGATTTAAGGGGCCAAATATTATCAATGACATTTGTGACATGCGAAATGAAGTTTGGGCTTTCCCTCATATTTCTAATTTCAAGGTTCATGATATATTCAAGTAGTTTGACGTGTAAATCAGCTAAAACTTCAAACAAAATATATTTATTCCATTCACCATAACGATAAGAATCCCAAAAGCAGTCATACTCAGATATAAAATTACAACATCCACCATAACTATAGGAATCACAAGAATCATCATGCTCAGGTATAATAAAGTTTCCGTTTAAATAAACTTTTAAATTGCTAGCCTTCGATAGGGATAAATAAGAAAATATTAACCCATAGAGTTCAGAAGGGTTTGGAAACTACAATATAAAAATAGTGAAAATAAAATAGTTAAAATATAATTAAAAATACAATATATTTTCAAAAAAAAAAGTCAAAATTTCATGGCAAAATGGCTTGTCGACAAATAAATGGAGAATTAACTTTACCGATTCGGACTTCAATTCATCCAATGATTTATTATCAGATTTAGCAAGCAAACAAGCAACTCCACCTCTTGGCTTTAATAATAAACAATAATTAATATATATAGTATAAAATCAAATTGGATTATTAATTGAGTAATATTTACCTTGAGTCGATTTTTCTTTGAAAATTCTACAAGTTCACTAGATTCTGGTTTGATTTTATCATGTCCCCCAGTACATATAACCCATACTTCTGAATCCTTTCGCTTACCATTGATTCTTTCAATATCTAATTGATAGATTTGTGCATCATCGATACTATCAATAACTGTTTGACGAGAATTGCGACAATTATCAATGTTATTTATTTTTGTTTGCCATATTATTTGATGACGAGATAGCCCATTCACTTCATATAAACAGCATGATTCTATATTTCTTAAAAAGAGCATCTCTTGATTAATTTTCCACATACGAATCACATTAATTTTATTTAAATTTTCTCTAAGCGGAAACCTAAACAATGTTCCTTTGAATTCTTTTGTGAAATCACAACCATACATTTTTTCATAAGGGTAGCATTGGTCCGGAAAACATTTCTTGAATTCTTTTTCAATAAAATTAATTCGAATACATCTTCGCCTTTTAGGAGAGTATCCTGTTGCTGGAAGAAATCTTGCTCGTGGATCTAAAAATGTAATATATTCTCCGCTTACAATGCTTGGTAAATCTGTAATATGAAAAACATAATAAAATCCTTTTCCGAATTTTCCGATTTTAGTATCATATTCATCTTTAACACAAGATCCTTTGAGTTCGAGCAAAGTCTGAATATCATCATTTGAAAATTGTGCATCAAAATATATCCATATTGATGGACCTTGCAAATCTTCCATTTCTCTTGATAATAAAAATTTTGTATAATAACTATTTTGTTTCCGATCCATAATTACTGAAAAATGCGTGGCTTTTGCATCATCTGCAATCTATATTTAATGGGAACACATACCAATTATATTATTTGTAAGCGTATAAAAGGAGATAAATGCTTGCATAATAGAATATAAACTACTTTATTACTTACTTGGAGAAACTCTTTAATGAAATCATATGGCATAAAGTTTATCTAATTATATGAAAGATTTTCAAATATTTGATAAAGATTAATATCTAATATGAATAAAATGATACATTAATAAAATCTAATAATTACCCGCTCAGTAATATTATTAATTTTGGTATTCAATGAGAGATCTTGTTCATAAAACCTCCAGGTATCGTCTTCAATATGATCAATATCTAGTAAAATTTAAAATGATATGAGTTTTAGATATCTGATTTTAACTTAATAGCAAAATTATTTATCATAATTACCACATATTTTCCCTGCCAAAGATTGCATCTTCAAATCTTTGGCAATTTGTGGAGTTACATGAGAATGAGCAATCAAATATTGGTGTTTCTTTTCATAGCCAAGTCTTCCTTCAATATCATCATAATGGATTTTTTGTAAGCTTACAAGTATATTATTAGTACTTGGAACTAATAATCCGTCCAATCTTTCTCCTGGATTTATCTTCTGTTTATTTGTAATACATATGAGAATATCAATGACGCTATTTATTTCATCTATTGATAAAACTTTATTTTCATCTTTTTCAACCACTTTTTTGATAATTTGAATTAAATCCTTAATCTTAACCTGAGACCACCTTTGAACTCCCATAGAAAGAAACATTTCCTTATAATAATAATATTCTCTAGGAAGTATAATAATTAAAGAATTTTTATTCGGTAGGTAACCATCAAAAAGATCATCAATAAAAACTTTATCAGTTGAACGAAATATATTTTCGCACAAAATCCATGATTGATTTTTTAATTTTTTCTTCATATAATCGAATGATTGACTTCTACTATCATAAGCTACATCCATGTATTTATAAATCGCCATACAAATAGATTTTAACTTCGGTTGTATTTGATCCATTTGATCCACATTATCACGACAAAATTCCAATTGTTTTAGTACAGTCTTCTCATCAGGATCATAATTCCACTCCATATTCATGGGAACATATTCTACAATTGGTTTAACATAACATACTAAATTTTCGAATTTTTTACAAAAACAATCAATAGGTCTTGAAAAAAGTTTCCTTCCAGAAATAAATGACCTTTCATATGTAAACGTAGGAATCCATGGATTTGTCCTAATAGTTTCCAACAATGCATTATTATTATATGATATCTGATCCCATTTTTCATCAATATATTTTAAAAGGTTTAATGCTTTGATACGAATTAAATCATGCTCCTCAAGAGTATTTATTCTCTTTACAATAATATTTATCCGAGAAATAATATCATCTGAAGTAAGTTCTTTTTTAATCCAAAGCATTTGTAAAGACCTAAAAAACTTATTGGAAGAATTTGAGCGTATTCCATAACTACCAACAGGAAAAACTTCCTCATCTTCAAAAAATAGTTGTGTCACCTTCATTTCTACTGGATTAAATAGTTCCGTTGGTTTGGTTAAATTTATAATATTTGGCGTTTGTTGTTGTATAAACATTCCAATTGTACCAGCTGGTACAAAAGGTTGATTTCCGATAACTTCTATTAACTCATTATTAAAATTAGGTAATCGATCAAATAATTTATCAATTGCAATATCTATGTCTTCTGGTCGTTGAAATTTAAGATATGGTATTACATAATATCGCCAATAATCATTTGAAGTTAATCGATAAATTCCAATAATATTTTCCAATATATAACACATATTTTGTGAAATAGAATTAATAAATCCTCCTTTATCGCTTGGATAAATAATTTTACCATATAATTTTTCTTCTCCGTGAGGTAAAAGATACCAACGTTTGTTTTCATGTTGTAATGGTAACAATGGAATCGGTGAATTATGATCAACTTCGATAAAAATTGGAAAACGTTTAATAACATCAATATGATTTTGTACAAGATTAAATTTATTAACAAGTCGTAAATAATTAAATAAATGTTCAACGAGTTCTGTTGCTTCGCTACTCTGTAAATTTATTTTCAAATTATCTGGATATGATGCATTAGCACGGAAGGAATCCAAAACCGATATAATTTTATCAGGCTTAATAATATACGGAGATACTCTAATTATACGAAAAAAATTTTTTGTTAAATTTTTTTTTTTTTAAAAAAAAAAAAGATAAAAAAGATGTAAAAATTTATTTATAACAAAATACTTACTTATTCCATTTTGAAATTTTTCTAGTATCAAATTCACTGTTAACGAAAACAGCACCAAATTTTTCGAAAATAGAAATTAAATTGTTTGAGATATGTTTACTCGAAAAGGTTTTTGTAGGAGTCTTCAACTTTCTAAGAGTAAAATGTTTTGTCGGAATTAAATGAATATCTTCAAATTTAGTCAAATCCCAATTTCTAAATTTTAGGTTATCCCATAATTGATAAATCCATTCATAATTATCTGGCATTGGTATTTCTTCAGAATCTTTTGTACTCTCTTTATAATTCAATGAATATTCAATCATATCTCTAACAGCAAATTCATCCAATATTTTTATATTTAAAATCCAATTTGCTTTTGCATTTTCATATAAGCATCGATATAATGAAATGGTAATCGATTTATCAATGAACTTATTTAGTTGATATTTGAAAATATTACATTCATCGTTTTTATGAGTTTTATTATATGAGTCAATATAGGCGTAAGAGCTCCCAGATTGTGTTAAAGTATCCAGTGTACCATCTGCAAGCGGAATCATTTTAAAGCCTTCTAATTCATCAAATTTTTCATTCTTTAATATATATTCAAATAAAGATAAAATTTCTTCTCTTGAAATTACACCGTCTTGCCATCTATCACTATTACACCTTAAATAATTACGAATGATAGCAGGAGTAAACAAATGAAGCGAGTCTTTGTGTTTAGTAGAATTTTTTAAACAGCTGACAATTATTTGTAATGTTGATATGAAGGGAAACCCAATACTTTTAATTATACTAGATAAATTACAAATTTGTACATTTTCATCCTCCAAATAGCCATTGTGAAGTGAAAGCCAATGAAATTCAGACTTTTGGAATGAGGAAGTATTATACAAATCAACTGAAGCTTCAGATATTTCCCCAATGGTATTCGATGAAGAAGGTCCTCTGAATACACGATCCTCAACATTAAGACATTCTATTACGTTCTGCAATAGACCCTTACAAAATCTACTTAAGTTACCCGATATTCCATCTTTTATTATTGGCCAGAATTTATATGTATCGTTTGATCGAATATTAGGGACTTTAAACGGCAATTCGCGAAGAAATTTCGCCCAAGCTTTGGGTAAGACTTTTTCAAATAAATAAAGATTCCATTCTATATTTAGGTTTGCTGATCCTCGTAACGCCTAAAAGTTTAAAATATACAAAATTTTTAATATTTAACATTCAAGCACGTAAAACAAATAAAAAAGTTGATTATTATTCACCAATCCTTCATTTTCCGCAGGTAACCATAAAGAACGTCGATCACTTTTAACCTATTAAGATAATTAAAAAAATTTTAGCAATATACCAATATAACAAATTTCAACTTTTATCGATTCTTACCGCAAAATATCCATGTACGGAAACTGGAAAGGGCATTTCAATAGGAAGAGGTAAAAAACAAAATAATCTTCCGGTAACATTTAAATTATTCAAAGGAACAGCTAAACCAATATTTGGTATAAGTTTATGATTACTTATATCTATATCAAATTTCTTTTGACAATGTGCTTCTGTTTCGAATAAATCATCAAGATAATTCAAAATTAACCATGAATAAATTTTCTTAGTATCTCTTTTCTTCTGTCGAGAGAATAATGCAACATAAGATGATGTTTCTAATTGATTTTTGCTGCTAAGTTCCTTTGATTTCAATAATTTCATCATCGGTACAATATTTTCAGCTATCAAACGACGTTGTTGTCGTACTTGGTCAGCATTTTCCAATTGAATTGTATAAAGCAATTCAAGTTCAGTAGCACCTTTTTTCAATTCATAGAAATAAATACGTTCGATATATTTTAAAAATAACAAACAATTTATGCTTTCTTTTTCGTAAAAATTATGAAACATATCTAAGATTTCTTTAGGCTTGTATATTTTATTAGAAATTTCCGATTCAGTATAATCACGAAGAGGATAACGAAATACAGTGCCTTTAAATGGTTTTTTAAATGGATTATCACATGTCTCATCACACGGGATTTTAAAAGGAGCTAATTGATCCGGTGACTCTTCGAACAACTTCTCATCGACGAAATTGTATATGATACCACCAAGAAAATGCCATTTATGTGGATCAAAGTTAGCGTATTTATCACCAGTAATGAAAGAAGGGAAATCAGTAATATGATAAATAGAATTAAAGCCGAGTCCCATCACTGTTTATCATATTGAAAAGTTAGAATATTACATATTGTATACGTTAAAAAATAAAGTAGATAGAAAGATTACCTCCAATTTTATCAATTTGATCTTTCTTTTTACTATTTGACAAATTTCTCAAAGATTCAAAATCTCTCTTTTCAAAAATGGTATTATTCTTTGCTAAAAGTGCAGGACCTTGATATCTACCAAGTCTCAGATTGGCTCTCTCATAGTTAACCGAATTTGGTTTTATTAATCTATTAGATGGATATGTATTATGGTCCAAAATAAAAATTTGTTCGGTACTTTTAGCATCGTCCGAATTTTGAAGAATTTCACGAAGAATTTGGGAACCATCAGGATAATCTTTAAGAATACCATGTAAACGACGAGTAATAGGTTCATCTTGACTATAATTCTCTGGCATTTTTGCGTTGATGAATTTAGGAAATAGCGTAAAAACAAAAGGTGATTTTAAAGGAATAATCGACCAATTTATAATAAAATTTGTTGCATGAATAACTAACTTTATTTAGTGAAATACAGAAAATCAGTCGATCTCGGGTAATCCGTACGTGCCAAGAAAAATTCGACTACAAAACAATTATGAAAAAAACGTTCATGTTCTTTATTGTCTTTTTTTGTATTAGTATAGTTAATAATCCCAAACAATGAAGTCAAACAATATAAACGTGTTATCAACTTAGCCCTACTACTGTTTTTTTCTAATAAGCTTTTTTAATTTCCTTTGTTTTTTATTTTGAGCGGATGCGATCGAATTGTTTCATAATGATGAGATTATTCGTAATTTCGTATATACTTATATTACATTTAATGTGATACAAATCTCGGATAACCCGTATACGCTACAAGAAATTCGACTATAAAACAATTATAAAAAAATTTAATTTTTTTTTTTTGTATTAGTATAGAAATATGAAAACAACCCTTGAGCTAAGGATCAACTTTTTTTTGAGCGGAGCGATCGAGATTGTCCATTTACCTAATAAAGTTAAACTAATCTAATCATTGTACTCAGAAAAGGGAAGTTCTTTCTTAATATAGTTTACAAAAGATTTTATTAATTTTTTTTTTTACTTTAAATAGTAATGGTGGTAATTGATACTTTAGTACTTTACTATGTTAGGCAACCTATAAATTTCAAAAAATGCAGCTACTACCTATTAATAGGAAAGAAATGATATTTGGCTAGTGAATGTTTTTTTTGCTTACCAAGATTCAAGACTTTTGAAACGGGGCTTGATGTTAAGAGTTTTAAAACTAGTGCAAGGTTGTACGCATGATTTATTTTTCGATGGTGTTTGATCTTAAATAACTTACTATTATTAGTTAATATAATATAATAAAGGTTAGTCTGCTAAAGGACTCGTGTTACCTTATAAATATTTTCTTATATGTTTACTGAATAGCCGGAAAAAACTCCCTTTTTAGTTATTTGTGTGACATTCATTTTTATATTATTATATTTGATATTATCTCATTTATTTCACCGACGATCATTTCACCGACAAACGTTTCACCTACAGGGTCATTTCGCGGACAAATGTTTCGCCGACAATCATCTCACCGGCAAGGGAATTTAAAATTTAAGATTAGGGTTAAGAAAGAAAATTAGGGTTAGGATTGGTTTACCACAAAATCCTGACAATCTCAAATCCAATTGAAATAAAATCCAGATAGTCACAATAAAAATCTTGACAGTCAAAATCCAAAAGTTTTTTTTTTTAAAAAAAAAAAATTATATAAATTTTCCATAATTTTAAAAATACAGTGACGCAGTAATGGGTTAATGACTTCCCTAGCGTAACCTGAAAAAAATGTCACGAAATGGCCGGCATTACGCAACTTGACTGAAATTAAGTGTGGCGCACTTGTGACGAATAAGGTGTGACGAATAAGTTTTTACCTACTCGAAAAAAACAAAGTCCCTCAGATACTTATAGAAAATGGAAACGCAGTGGGGTGTGACGGTTGTGACAAAAAGTCACGTGATTTTTCGTGACATTTTTTTCAGGTTACGCTGGGAAAGTCTGGGTTAATTTATTCAATATAATTTAAATAATTACTGTAAATTTTATTAATACCAATGCAAATTTTATTAATATTAATGCAAATTAACTAACGTTAATATATCATATATTATTAATAAAAATTAAAATAAAAAATTTATCTCTGTTAAAAGGATTATGTACAGTATATTACTAGATTACTAAACTATTCCTTGTCTTCTACATTAGAAATAATTACATTAAAAAAATTTAAGTAATCTCAAATTCATCTGATCGAATCTCAGACAGGATCATCGGAATTCTATGACTGTTGTAACATCTAAGCCCGTGATAAATTACGTTGCCACCTTAGACATTAACAAAATAACTCTTTATTAATAATATAAATAAATACAATAATATGCTTGGTTTAATAATATCACATGATAAATAAAATAATTATATTAAAATTCATTTTCTAAAATTCGTAACTCCAGAATTGTAACTTGTTTTTGAAGAAGTCACATTATTCGCCCCTTTTATATTTGTTTATGTTTCACCAAATTTCATGATTTAAATTATGGATCGTTAACTTCAAAATTTCCATAAGATTATCTTTACAAATTTTTTTAGATCCATGAATTTTTAATCCTTAACTATTTCCATCCATAATGATCATCATTACCTCCTTAATTATGATTTACAATAATTTCTAACATTAACGTAATGATCTACAAATTAATCACCTGACATTCTAATTCACCTGATTTGATGATCTACCGGACCAATTATCCTTACTACACATGACTAATAGTTTAACGTCTTTTCGGACCAATTAAAAATACAATTTTAAATAAAAATTTTATACACTAAGATTAAATATAATACTGCGCCCCACAATTAATAAATTTACTAGGTATACTACGGCATTACACTGTCAGGATTTTGATTCAATCGGGATTTACATTTATCGGGTCGGGATTATAGACTGTCAACATTATGGGTGTGATCCCGTTAGGATTAGATTAGGGTAAGTGGATTAGGATTTCAAAACTGTGATTGTCATCAGACCCGTTTAGTTTAATTTCATGATTTACAAAAAATTAAATAAGATTAACAAATTGTACATAACAGAGATAAACACGAGCTATGCATTATGGAACATTTTTAGTAATAGTTCCTGAGAATAAAAAAAAAAATTATTTAAAAAATTAATTGAACTTTAAAAATTAATTCACGCATAATATATAATATATGTAAAAACATTTTTCTTTTGTTAGGAAAAAAAAATTATAATAAATTTTTTATCATTGTTTCAGGTTTTTAACTTTTTATATTAAAAAAAATTCTTCCTTCTAGAATAACTTAATAGTTACTAAAAATTCATATGATGTAAGAGAGTAGTTACTTCCTTCCCTCTTATTATTTTTTTTTTTTTATACGGTCAAACAATTTTTAATTTTATAAACAAAAACAAAAATAAAAATAAAAAAATTAAAAAAAAATTAATTTTTTTTTTATATTGATCTTTATGCAATATCGAAAATTTTCATTTTGAGATAACAAAAATCATTCGACCTCTATATCCTTCATTAAAAAACGAAATAATCAAACAAATCATTTAAGACGTTTGATGAGACAACACAATTAAAATATACATATAACCTTGCTATATTACAATTATTAATGATTGGAAAATAAGTATTAATACTGATATTGAAAGTACAAAATATTCAAATTTCTTAAAAGATTCATAAAGTGCATCTACACAACAAAAAAAACACACACACAAAGGCACATTATACAATCAAGATACTAAAGCATCTACAGCCATTAGAGTATACCTCTGCCTTTTCGGGCGAGGTGTAAATTTTGTGTTGGACTTGTGATTTTATAGCCTCATTAGGTAGTTTTGGTAGCGCTGCCTTCAAGCCATAATTAAACTTCGCTAGATATCAGTTCAACAGTGATCTAATTCACATCCCATTCATACAAACAGTTTCTCTTAGATAAACTACTAACTGAAGTGCAGTGCATTTTCTATATTTACTTCTTCATCTTTTGTCTGCAAATCAAATGAAAGTACTTCATCGTTATAAACATAGATGAATAATGACTGATCAAACACAAGCCCAGATGAATCCTTGATCCGTCTACTAATCCTATATGTAAGCATAATTTATTTATCTCTTCTTCTGATGGGTAATTCGTCAAAGACAGACAGAATTCTATTAAATTCGTGCATTGCTTCTGCAACAATGGCTACATCATATTTATGAACTTTGAATCTGGCTATTTAAGTTCAATTAGAAAGAAAGCAAATTGCAAGTCGTTTTAGTTGCTTACAATTGCAGAATTTTGCTGAACCTTGTTCACATTTCCGGGAATTAAGTGGTGAAATTCCCATACATTGACAAATTTTGGGTTATTAAGTGAAAAGGAATTAGACAAAATGTTCGTCCATAGTTCAGCTTTTATATGGTTTTCAGACAGTTCGCTTCCAAGACCATGGCATGGTATAGATATGTATGAAATAACAGCTGAGATCACAGGAATACAAGTTGAAGTATCAATTTTGTAATAGCTTTTTGCGAATCTGGCAGTCAAAATGCCGTTCAAAGATAGGGAACAGCAACTTTAGCTCAATTTGTGGAATTGAAATGATAACAGGTTTGCGTTCACCTTGCCCAGCCTGCTTCTACAAACATTTCGAAATTCACCACTGACCATTCCAACATGGTGAAGGAATATTGAGCAAGTTGTGAATCTTCCTCAATGTGAAGTTCCTGCATTGCTAAAAGTATTCCACAGTGGTTTATTTAGCAACAGATACTTTTCAAAATCAACTGCTTCATTGGCTACATGATTCTGACTATATGATTCAGATTCCGGGTTTTCGTCATCATCTGTATCAGTTCTATAATCATTAATTTCATAATCTTCATTGGCTACATGTCTTCTTTTTCGTTTATGATTCTGACTAGATTCTGGGTTTTTGTCATCATCTGTATCAGCACTATATTCACCATCAGTTCTAAGTTGTAATGATATCGTATACTCCTTTGATTTATTTTTCTTCTTAATCTACAAGATTATATGAGGAAAAAGAATTAGATATGGAATACTGAGTCATAAAATACACATCTTCTACCAACAGCACACAGTGGCTAATTGACATAGTAACTGCTCATGAAAAGGGCAAAAGATGAATGAATGGTAGCACCAACAATCATTTATGGTGCACCCCACCTGAGCGACTTGCCAGCAAAAGTCAGGCCACATGGGTTCTGCTAAGTAATCACTATGTCAGGTCTGGTTACCTGACTGGAAACTTTCGCAAACTGTGATCATGTTGTGCTTTTCGGTTCTATATATTATACTGGTTTGCACAAAGAACACTGACCTCCTGCAACTTCTAAAATTTTACCAATTTCATTCTTTCATTGCTATTTTATGAAGTACCCTAAGAAGGATACTGATATCTTCGTCCAAAAAATTGTAACACTCATCAATTGTTGTATAGTGATTTTGTTTGCGATAGTATTCTTCCCAAGTTGAGAAATTTCCCCAATATATATATCTTCGTGACCAATATTAGAGGGGAATGTGCAAGCAAAAAGAATCAGTTTATTAAGTAATATATTGAGCAAGATATTGGGCAAGGTAGAAACTTACCGGACAGTTAAGTTTTTCAATAGTTTTCTCAGAGAGGCCCACCATCAAATAAGCAAACGCGAGAAGCTAAAGAATACATAGTGACATAATAGTAATATACCTGATAGACTCTTGATTATGACCATAAATTTTCAGTGGGTTTTACTAAAGTTAATTTCTTACATTGCACGTTTCATATTACTACTGACAACCAATTTTATTTTATCCAGTTTCAGTTTAAAAGGTCCGACTTTAGGTTAGACTTCTCTTAATAGCAATAACAAGAGATTTTTTATAGGTGTTTTATGTAAAGTTTGATTAAAATTTGTACTAATAGTGAAAAGCTTTTGTAGAAATTTAGTCCAAATACTTACTATGCAACAACCATTGTATATATTTCAAATTATTGTTCGTTAAACAGCATGAAAAAACTAAGAACTATTAGTATAATTCGTATCGTCTAAAGTTAATAGCAATACTTAAAATATATTGAAATTTTTCTTTTAATAGTAAAAAATTTGTATCATAAAAGCTTTTCTTCATATGAGGGATAGTAGGGTGGAAGTAATAGACGAAATTGCTTCAAGTATTTGTAATTATTGTACAGGTTATTGTTGTATAAAAATATTTTTCTTTAATATCTACGTGATAATTTTAATTCATTACGTGACAGTAGATTATTGGCTAGCAAGTGTTGATCGTTATGTGAAATTTCCCAATAAATGGATTTTTGACTGTATTACGTAACTAAATCTGAGATATAGAGCGAAGCGCAAACAATTATTCAAATCTTTTTTATTAGTTTATTCAGTTTATTCTCAAAATTTTAAATTTAGTTCAATAAGTTAGTTCAATAAATTAGTTCAATTACTTTAATTCATGAATCAGGAAAAGTTTCTTGATTGAACTTATCCTCAACGCTAATGTCGTATTGTCGTATTTCATTGAGCTATACAATTTGTCAATTATTTTTCACCTACTTTTCTTGGTGTATTGATAATCAGGATATGATTGATTTTTATGGCATGTGTAAAAATATGAGATAATTATATTAGGAAATAGTAAACCAATTACGTATTCACCCATTTTACCGATGCCTGCTTTACCAACATAAAATTTACTAACTTCACATTGCCGACTTGCTATTTCACCGACATTGCATTTTCCCAAAATCATTTCAACGAATCACCATTTTGCCAATAGCTATTTGTCGACATCAACATGAAATTTAAAAAATCAAAAATTGAATTTGAAAATTAAATTGTTAATCTACATGAATTCTTCCCGAGGAATTATATGAATATTCTTAATATTCATATTAATTAATATTCACATTATATGAATGTGAACATGAATTGAACTCATAAATCATTTAAATCATTAGAGTGAGGCACTTTTATTGTGTATTAATTTGCGCTATCAAATAGTTGATTTTTTTTTCTTGATTAATAAAAAATTTTTCAACTTATAAAATCAGTGAACGCAACAATCATGATCATGTGGTATTTTCGAAAATTATTACCAACAAATAAAAAAATATTTTTAACTAGAAAAAGAAATTGGATTAATCAAATAAATATTTTTTTGCTAATGTCAAATAATGTTTTACAGTTAATTGAGAATCCATGGATTATTTAAAAATTGTTTAAATTTTAAATGTTTAATAAAATGAATTTTTCAACTTTAAAATTACGGTCAGATTATGATTAACGCTTCAATTATTTTTGTTTAACATTTAAATATTTTTTTGTGATAATGTATTTGATATGTAATACTTATTTCATGGGGAGTCATGAAAATCATGATATTTATGAGACACGTGAAATAACTCTTGGAAAAGGTATAAATAAACTATAAAAACACGTGAGAATGAAAAATATCATCAGAAAAATTACAGGCATGAATATATCATCAAAAAAATCACTGGCGACCAATTAGTAAACATGAGAAAAAAATACTGCATTCCATTGAACTAAAGTGTGAAAATATGATTTCCGTAATTATCCAATAACAAAATGAAGTTGAATTCAACTTCATCAAAATAGATTTGAAACTTAGTGAGACAATATTAATAATGCATAATATTTCAATAAATCTTTAAATATTTTGTTTACATAAACTAAAAATATGAAGGACAAATATTTGGGCCTACTTATTTACTAATTTTTTTTATTACAAACTAACATGAATAATTGGGTTATAATTGCAAAAATTATTTTAAATATCAAAAACATAAATAGTACATAAAAGTACAAATATTGTGCCATTTAGAATTTAATAATGATAAACAAAAGATGTATTTCTTTATTTCAACATAAATTTAAATAATATAAAAAAAGCTTTAATTCATTGAAAATTTTATAAAATGAATGGAAATTATGACAGTAGGGGAAAAAAAGTTTTTTTTAGAATTCAAAAAAAAAAATAAACTTAATCCTTATTTAGTCTTCAATTAACAAATAATTCTTTAATCAGACGATTAAAACGATGCAACCCACACAAAGTTTTTTACCGCCAGATTATTTTTAATTACTGATTCACATCATTTATAAAATCTCTCCTTTTTTGAAAATGGTGTATATTATCCCTATAAAAAAAGTCGACATATATATATATATATATATATATATATATATATATATACCCATTTTTTATATTCCACCTTTTTTCTGTAAAAAGTTCATATTTCCGGAATTAATAACCTTATATAACAGAATTTATCGAATTACTTTCATTTTTCGTGAATGGATCCATGAAAGGCTCATTTTTACGGAGTTTTTACAGAAATAATGATAAATTTTTACAGAGTTAGTATAGCAATTCACTAGTGAGCCTTCTTAATCAAATATAATACAGTATATAGTATTTACTATGAATTATTTACATATTACAAAAAAAAGATAAGAAATATACTTTTAGGTTAAATAAGATAAAAATTGATCTTTTAATTTCATTTTCTTTAACTAAAACAATCTGTTCAAGTAAATAAATTCTATGGAATCATATTAGCTTAACTATTTAATAATAAGTTTAAACTTTTTTCGGCCTCTTGGCATCCATTTTCTGCAGCTTTCTTGTACCAATAAACGGCTTTCTCAATATCTTTTTCAGTTCCTTCTCCTCGTTCATATAATGATGCTAGACTATTTTGTGCATCAATATTTCCTCCTTCTGCAGCAATTTTATAGTAATTAAATGCTTTTTCTTTATTAATATAAATTTGAGTTCCATAATTATAAATATATCCAACTTTATATTGAGCATCTATATATCCTTGATCAGCTGATTTCTTATAAAATTCAAATGCTCGTGTTTCATTTTTACAAATCCCTTTACCTAATTCATAAAATTCACCTAATTTATATAATGCAAGTTTATTTTCATTTTCTGCAGCTTTATGATACCAATAATTAACTTTGTCTAAATCATTTACTATTTCTTCATGATTTTCAATAAGATTAACTTGGATATTGCTGTCAGCTGCTTCATTATATAATTTAAATCCTTTTTCTTTATTAATTTCAGTTCCAATTCCATTACATAATAATATCCAAGTATAAATTTTGCATCAATATATCCATTTTCAGATGATTTCTCATAAAATTCAAATGCTTTAATTTCATCTTTATTTACACCAATTCCTAATTCATAAGATTCTCCTATATTATACTGTGCAACTCCATCACCATTTTCTGCTGCTTTTTGGAACCAGTAAAAAGATTTTTCAAAATCCTTTTCAATTCCAATTCCTTCATCATAGTAACATGCAAGTTTGAATTGAGCGTGTAAATAATCTTTTTCAACTAAATCTTTTATTAGCTCAAATGCTTTTTTCTCATCTTTAGCAACTCCTCCTCCTAATTGATACAAAATAGCTAAATTATATTGGGCATAAGTATTTCCTTTTTCTGTAGCTACTTTATATAATTCAAATGCTTTTGATTTATTAATTTCAGTTCCAATTCCTTTATCATAATAACATCCAAGCTTAAATTGAGCATCTACATTATCTTTTTTAACTAAATCTTTTATTAATTCAAATGCTTTTTTCTCATCTTTATCAACTCCTTCCCCTAATTGATAACATATACTTAAATTATATTGTGCGTCAATATTTCCATTTTCTGTTGCTATTTTATATAATTCAAATGCTTTTGATTTATTAATTTCAGTTCCAATTCCTTTATCATAATAATATCCAAGCTTAAATTGAGCATCTACATTATCTTTTTGTGCTAAATCTTTTATTAGCTTAAATGCTTTTTTCTCATCTTTAACAACTCCTTCTCCTAATTGATACAAAATAGCTAAATTATATTGGGCATAAGTATTTCCTTTTTCTGTAGCTACTTTATATAATTCAAATGCTTTTGATTTATTAATTTCAGTTCCAATTCCTTTATCATAATAACATCCAAGCTTAAATTGAGCATCTACATTATCTTTTTTAACTAAATCTTTTATTAATTCAAATGCTTTTTTCTCATCTTTATCAACTCCTTCCCCTAATTGATAACATATACTTAAATTATATTGTGCGTCAATATTTCCATTTTCTGTTGCTATTTTATATAATTCAAATGCTTTTGATTTATTAATTTCAGTTCCAATTCCGTTTGAATAATAATATCCAAGATTAGATTGAGCATCTGCATGATCTTTTTGTGCTAAATCTTTTATTAACTCAAATGCTTTTTTCTCATCTTTATCAAGTATCAACTCCTCCTAATTGATAACACATACTTAAATTATATTGTGCGTCAATATTTCCTTTTTCTGTTGCTATTTTATATAATTCAAATGCTTTTGATTTGTTAATTTCAGTTCCAATTCCTTCATCATAATAATATCCAAGCTTAAATTGAGAATTTATATCACCTTTTTCAGCTAAATCTTTTATTAACTCAAATGCTTGTTTTTCATTTTCATCAACTCCTTCTCCAGATTGATAACATTTTGCAAGATTAAACTTTGCACTTGTATTTCCATTTTTAGCTGCTTTCTGATACCAATGTATTGATTTTATGGTATCTTTTGCAATTCCAATACCAAATTCATAGCAATTTCCTAGATACAATTGACCCATAATATTACCACATTCCGCAGATTTTTGAAACCAATTAAATGCCAAATTTTGATTACATTCAATTCCATATCCGTCATAATAACATTTCCCAAGATAAACTTGTGCAAAAGAATAATTATTTTTAGATGCAGTTCAAATGCTTTGGTACTACTTTCTTCCGTACCAATATTATAATAATAAAGTAATCCATGTAAATAAACATATTGTGGGTTCACTTGATTAATTAGCCACTTAATTAGGTTGTCCGAGCTTTGATCTAATCCTAATACTTGTTGATTGAAAACTGCTCAATATCTTGAAAATTAATACCTATCATGTTTGCCGTTTATTTCTTTAATTAACTTTTCAACAATTATATTATTTACCTTATCAAATGTTGACCTATATGTAGAGGTTGGAACCGGTTAAGCTCTGTCTCTTATACACATCTAGATGTGTATAAGAGACAGGGTTGGAACCGGTTAAGCTTAACCGGTTAATTAACCGGTTAAAACGGTTAACCAGTTAAAACATTTGTTAACCGGTTAAAAAACAATTTTTAACCGGTTAAATTAACCGGTTAAATTATCCGGTTAAATTAATCGGTTAAATTAATCGGTTAATTTAACCGGTTAAAATGCTGAAAATATTTGTAATTCTGGCCAAATTTACAGTGCCGGCCAGAATTATAAATCACGGGACTTCTGATAAAAGTTTAGCCACCAGGTAAGGAATTTTTTGTGTTATATATGCGGGCTGAAATTCATAGTGCCGGCCAGACAATTTTTGCCTGAATTTCGTCTTTCAGCTAGAGTTTCGTTTCGATTGTTAGAGTTTTGGTCTGGCCTAATTTTGGCCGGGATTAAAAATATATTTGATGCTAATCCTGGCCGAATTTTAATTCTGACTAGGATTGAGTTTTAACCGGTTAATTAACCGGTTAAAGGTTTGGTTAACCGGTTATTAACCGGTTAAGACTTTTTGGACCAGTTCCAACCTCTACCTATATGAAAATATTGACGAATTTGATTGAATTGATGTATATGATAAATTATTTTCAATATCCATTATATTTATACTTAATCCAATATTTGATAACAATTCATTATTTAAATCCATGGTCTTAATTGATTTTGAAATTGTTTCATATTTTTCTATTAGTTGATTATTTTCTTTTTCTTTATTAACAGTACCAATAATTGTATCATCTTGTTTAGGAAATTTTAGTGTATAAAGGATTGAGACGACATTTTGCGCATTTGGACGTTCATCTGGCTCATATTTCCAACATTCTAATTACAGTATTTAAACATTATTGTTAAACTTCCTTTCAAGAAATTAGTTAATAAATTATTAAATTACTAACATAAAATACCTGTATACAAATTTATATATTCTTTAGGAGTACTGTCAATAATTGTTTCCCGTTTACCTTTTACTATGGATAAGATTAAACTTGCATCATAATTATAATCACAAAATGGTTGACGGCCACTTGAAATTTGCCACATTAAAACTCCCATGCTGTATACATCAGATTTTTTGTTTAGTTTATAATCTTGATCATTTAACTTTTTTGGGTCAATGAAAGGTATTACTCCAAGTATTTTCGATGTATTGCTTGATACCTCAGCGATTTTTTTTGATAGACCAAAATCCGTCAACTTTAGCTTTTTCTGATGTACAAGTATATTACCTGCATGCTATTGTTATAAACAAAACTTATTTAGTACGAATATAATAAAATAATCATATTACAAATTAATAACAAATTACAAAGCTAATATTTTACTATTACCAGGTCACGATGAATAATATTACAATCATGCAAACAATCTACAGCATTAGCTAATTGAAATGCTAATTGATATTTATCAGTCCAAGTGAGTTCATTAAAATGCTCATTTAAATAAGTTTTTAGTGTACCATTGTTAGCATATTCTAAGACTAACGAGTATTTTTCTGGATACAAAGAGTATATTAAAATGAAGCTCATTTAATAATGTAGTATATACTAAAACTTAAAACCTACCATTTTCTACTTTCGTTATTCCATAAAACCGTATAATGTTTTCATGAAAGTCAACTCTTTTTTGTAATCTTATCTAAAAAAAAATATACCTTTAATATGTAAAAATTAGTATAAAGATTATCGAGATAAATTACCTCATTAACAAGTTCTTTTAACATTGCATTGTCATAATTTTTAAAAGTTTTTAAAACAAAAAAATTTCCAGCATTTTTCCAATTAGCACGAACGACACTTCCGAATGAACCACTTCCTATCGGTTCTAAATTTTTAAATTCTGAATATTCATAATAATTGAAATATTCATCTGCAATCGATTTTTCCAACCAATTAATATAATAATTTGGTTCTTTAATGTCGGTTTCATTCATTTCTTTTGACATTCTTGACAATAATTTTTATCAGTTTTAACGGTAGTTAAAACCTTATGAAACGTTGCAACTACATTGTACTGCATTAAAATATTCGTTATTTGTGATCAACAATAGGACCTAACCTTTTATGGTGTCATTCCGGCGCCAGCAGCTATCAGTGTCACTTAAGAAAAAGTACCTGCGCCACACTACAAAACTTGTAAGATAAAATGACATGATGCAATATAAGAGTTTAATAAATTAATAATGTTACCACCGATTTGTGTAGTTCGGGAGGGCAGTAACAGAAATATATACGGGTTAATTTATAGAATTTGACTAATAATAGGCAGTAATCGGCAATAAATCGTGAGGAAATGGGTAGGGTTTATCAACAATTAGCAATAGATTTATAAACAATGTATATTTATTGAATGTA